CATGGCCTCGATGGGGAACACGGCAGTGAAGGAGCCGGGCAGGATGGGAGCCTTCCCACCACCACGATGGGGAACACGGCAGGGAAGGAGCCGGGCAGGGTGGGAGCCTTCCCGCGGCCACGCGTGCTCTGCCCAGGAGCTCTCCACATCGCTAAACCACGAGCAAGACCCCAGCTGAGCAAGGACAACCTTGCCAGGAGCTACGTAATGATAAGAGACAGCAAAAACTGCCATTTTCAAGCTTTGCTTTATACACATATATGTACACATATAGCTCCCAACTTTCCTAACGCTCTCACAACATTGCAGGTCTACGCCGAAAGCAGAAATCACTGCTCTTTGCTCAGTTGTGTATTTTCTATTCAGCCAAGCAAAAGGGCCACAATGCAGATTAACCTACAGATTTCAATCCTGCCAAAGCTCGTCTTGGACTGACTGCACCAGGATCAGCTCAGGTGCCTCACACGTGATATACATGAATGAAATAAAGAAGTTGCATAAAATTTATTTTTCCATCTTGTTTTACAACATTCCCTTTTAAATTCTTACATATCTGCAACATAGAACTCCACAGAACAATAAATAATTGGCATTCATATTTCTCTTGAATCAAGAGTATTTACATGTTATTTAACTAGACGACAGGTACAAAACACCGGCATCACAGTAAATATCATTTTGACACCAGAATCCATTTCCCCAATTAAAAATTAAATTAAATTAACATTGTAAAACAATTTCAACAATTAAAAATGTTTTGAAAGGCATATAAGTACACAAGTTGTAGTAGGCAGTAGTAATGGACCATATTGGCAAAGCTGTAGAACCCAGGATTTCATGCAAATCAGAGACTTAATTATGCATTAAGTAAGTAAATAAATAGGTAAATAAAAGAGCACATCCACCTCCCCTGTGGGATGTCCCTCCTCCAGTGGGAAATGGGTTGGCCCTTAGCCCTGCAAGGGTGGAGATGGGACCAGCTGTGTGCACAGGACTCGTGCAATTAGTAGCTCCTGTATCTGCTTGAGTGCAAACCAAGGATTAGCTGGTGGAGAAGCTCTTTTTTAGAGAAGAAAAGCAAAACACAAGCTTCAGGGATCCACACATCTAACTGCCGGGGGTCCTTGGCAACCCCTGCCCACCCACAGCGAGGTTTCCCTGGGGAGTTGCAGGGGGTAAGAGCTCGTCGTGGCGTTAACTGCAACAGCTCTGCAGACTGCAGCAGAGCCAGGGACTTGGTGCTGCTCAGTTTGGCCCAGCAAAGCCAGGGACTTGGTGCTGCTCAGTTTGGCCCAGCAGCAGCTCTTGGCACATATTTCTGAATGCTGAGAGGACATCAGGGAGCTCCCTCATCACTCACCAACCCAATGCTGATAAGACACTGTGCAGATTTAGGCTGATGCTATTGAACAAAGTGTGTCCCCACTGCAGTTGCATTAGGAGCTGAGCAAAACCACCACGAACAGGACAAGCTCGGTGGCACTTCCAGGTGTGAGCAACAGAAGGGAGGCAACGCGTAAGAGTTAAAGAAAAAAATAAAGAGGGTGACAGCAAACCCTGAATTCCTGCAGTGATGAAGAACACGACAGGGGTTGTCACAAAACCTACATGTTAAACAGCCATGGGAGCAACAGCACTGACCAGACCAGACACCTTCCAAAGCTGCCAGGGGAGCAGGAGCCCACGGGCGACATTCGCTGTTGTCCCACAGCATCATCCGCAGCACCGCAAAGCACACGAGTTATCTGAACGTACAGTAAATATTGAAACAAAAGGAACATGAACACAAAACAAATTCTATGAACAAACAAGGTACTACACGGAAAAGGAAACCTGCTTCACCCTGCATGAGTTATGAGCACACTAGAGGAAAAAGATGCAATTAATTTCCAGCAAAGAATACATTTATTCAAAGGTGTATTATGAACATATGCATTCAACTTTGCTTTTAAGAACATTTTTTAAATAATTTAAGGGAAATGGTTCACAGACAGTGCTAAGCATGAAAAACACAAAATCATTTCTTACTCCTACTGCTTGTTAGATAGCAGTTTTAATTTTGATTGCTTTAAAAAAACGCAATGTGTACCCAGAGAGAAATTGCTTCCTGGATTTACAACCTTGTGCAAAAAACTAGCTGCAAAGAAACATAAGCCCTACCCTAAAATACAGCTACAGATTACTAGCAATGCCACTAAATATGAGCTCCTTATTAAGGTTATGATTCAATAAATATTACTGAAATCACAATTCACTCCCTTTCTTGGTATAAGCTAGTATTTTGCAAATATGGTCCACTCTGTGTAAACTGTATTGACTTCAGGAAACGGTGAGTTCTACCATATATACTTCTCAAATATTTACATACAGTAGCATGGCACTGTTATTCTCGCAGGACATTTAACTACTAATACACAATAGATAGGGACAGGGCTCTTACATAGGTGTATGTCATGTATTTTCCAAAGGACAAGAGAGACTTGACTTGTCTGTCACAAGAAAGTGCCTGAATAAATAAATAAATAAATAATCTTGACTTATATTTAAATCTACTGAAATCAAATATTGATTGGGGAATCCAGAGCATCTGCAAGGCTGACGCTATCCAGAAACTGAAGCAAGCCACGACAAAGACGACACCAAGAACCCTTTTAGCAGAGTGGCAACCACGGCAGGCTGCTCGCCCAGGGCTCCTCAGGCCCTCCTTTTCCTCTGCCAGACAAGCCATTTAAAAATATGGGACTTTCAGGGCACTTCCCAATTTGTACATACTACTAAAGGGGGTGGATTTTGGTCTTTGGAACTTTTGGAAAAGTTTGGAAGAGAAAGAAAGGCAAGTTTTAAAACCATTACTGACCAGATGCATACTGAGAATTAGCTAAGTGTCCCTAGGCGCTAGGTTGTTTATGAAGGTGGTTGCTAAGAATTAGGACCCCACAAAAGAGCCTCATCAGAAGAGAGCACAAAAGAAAAGCCCTTGTTTGAGATCTAAGGGTTTGCCGTTCTTATTCCTCCAGGATTTGGAAACATAACTTTCTAAATTAAGCACACAAAGAGGACACCATTGAAACCAGCCTGTTTTGACATAGAGCTCTCAGTCCAACACTGTCATCTACAGCACAAATTCCACTCCCAAAGGTGACATAATAGAACCCATCACCTGTATGGATTTGATTGACTCTCTTCCCTGAAAAAGCAGAAAAATAAAAGGAAGAGAAGTAAAAGGGCACAAATTAATACGGCAGACCTGCATGACCTGCGTGTGCTTTCTGCCTTTTCTTTGGACCTGCAGGAGGATCACTGAAAAAAAATCAGAGCCCCATGAGCATGGGTGAAGCTGCCTATTTTGCAATCTCCCCAGTTCAGTGTGTTTCCTATGAATAAATAATCTTTAAAAAATAATCCAAGAGGAGGTCTATAATCTGTGAACATTTTTAGAATGACAGAGAAATAGGGTGGCTAGCAAAGTGGCTATGAAGAGAAGAAGGCTGAAGGAGAACATCAGACGTACGCCAGACAGAAAGGCAGGAGCAGCAGGACGCGGCACCCTTCAGTCCACTACCCCTGACACCACTGCTGTTTACTCTCTAAATCACACCAAATGACATGGGTGGATGGACTGGTACCATCCTCTTGCCCTGAGCCAAAGTATAATGAATTTTTCCAATTCTTCTCCAGATCTTTTGGATGTTGCTTCATCTCATCTTTGATATTCACTCCAATAAATTTAATAAGTTAAAGCATGGAAGGCAGGCCATGTTGCACAAAGGCTTCCTCAAAGCACTTGCCACACACCAGCCACAAAAAACACGGCTTTTTAGAACTGAAAATTCAAGATGTACCACTATGGGTCAAATAGAGGCTCCAGCTCTCCTTTTAAAACAACACTCCCATTTTCCACCCCCATTTTGACAACAGCTTTTCCCACAGTGTTGTGCTGCTTGAGACAGTGGGATACCTGCAGCAATGGCAACAGAAGCTGGTGCTCCACTGAGAAGGCCCAGGGCAGCACATGGAAGCCACAGGAGCTCCTGCTCCTCACACAAGCACAGTTTCCCTGATCTGCTTTTTAGAGGATAAGGGAGTTCTGGTTGCTGGAGCCCCCGGCCTCTCTGCACAGCCAATCAACCAGGTACAACAGTGGGTTTTATGGTGCAAGAGACAGCAAGCAACTAATTTATCACCGACTGAACAGCTGTTAGATGAGACCAGTGGTCTCGAAAAGCTCAGCCACGTTCAACCCTTCAAGGTTCCTATAACTCTCTGTTGTTCTCCAGAGCAGTCTGTGCATGCATTGTTTATACACAGCCAATGCTTGCGATAAAAAGCAAAACTCAGTGGGTATTTTGAAGTTTAAAAATAAATAAATGAATAAAACCAGTTTGCTCCGCACACTGGGCTACTACCCATGCTACAGGCTCCACGCCTGCCTCTCTGATCCAAATTTGATTTTGAGGGCAAGTTCTCAAAAACTGCCTCTCTGCAGAGATCGTGTCACGAACATCATCCACCTTGGAGTGCCTCAGCTTCTTTGTGGCTCATCTTCACGGTTTCATGCTAACAGGAAACAGATTTTGTGTAGCTGTGCAGAGCAGCAGCTCCCTGACCTTTCCTTTCAGTCTCCAAGGATTTGAGACACGTCTGCCGCATTGTCTACGGGACACTTCTCACGTTGTCAACACACTTTACGGCTGATCAGCTGCAAATTTCTTTTCCAGCAGGGGTTTTTGATTTAGATAATTTTCTCTTACACAAATAAACAGAGAGTAAAGCTGTTATGTCACCAGCTCCTTTCAACAGGAAGCACAAAAGCTAAACAAAATGGATTTTTCTTCACTTTGGATTATATTTCCTGCTCTCCAATGGCTGGATACTACCAAAAACACAAGACTGACCACAATTCAACTGAAGGAAAATCTTGAACAGGCTTAGATTCTCAAATGTGTGTAGATGTGATGTTATGAGAATGGCATGGCACAAATCAGGAACTGGCTGTCAGCAATATAGTGCATCACCTACAGTAAAGACTTTCCAAGACGGAAAAAGAACGTACCTACTTGACTCAAAACCATAAATAATATAAAACAACACAACACCATGTAAGGAACATCACAGATACTTAAAAAGTAACTTAAAATTTTCATCACGTATAAATTCCAAGGTCAGTTAGCAGCTTTCAGATACTCTGCATCACACATGAGAAACCAATCGTCATTGCAGTTGCATGCATTTTACCCCAATTAATTTGAACAAAAGTGACAAAAATTGGATGAACTAACGAGAGCCTTTACTCTCAAAAAACTCCCATTTATCATTAAGTTTCTGTTCACGGCAGTTGTTAAGTCTGTTTCAATAAAGCAGCATATAACAGAGATTACCATGAGATCCTTACGCAAATACCAGACGCATTCAGCATAGTTACAACTACATGATTTTCGTCTCTCAGCCATGTGCAGGATTTGTCTCTGGTGGGCAAAGAGAGTGGCCCTATGACGTGAGCTTTGAATAGCTTGGGGGAGAAAACCTTCGCCGCAGGTACTTGAGGACGTAGAGGGGCAGGCAGCTCACCAGGGTGATGACCGTGACCTTCCACAAGAACGACAGAGTTGCAATGAAGTAAACATCTGTTTAAAAAAAGGAGAAAAAAAAAAAAAGAGGGGGGAAAAAGGCACGAAATCAATGAAGATGGGAAGTAGCTTTGGGAGAAGGCAGAGAGAAGAAATATAATCTAACTACACTAGCAGCTTCACCTCTCCAGATGCACAAAAGCACAAAATCCCTGCAGTTTGGTTCCTTGCTCTCCCTTCCCTTCTCCTTCACCAAAGACACAAGCTTTCTACACACACAGTCCTCATGGGATTCCAGCAAGGCATATAATTCATCACAGGCAACTACAGACATAAGCCCCATATGAAATAGGGCTATCCATCTTCTGGCACTAGTCAGCTTTCTTTCAATGCACTGCTTGGATGCTGACTCCAGGAGTTCCTGTCTTCTGCTTGCCTGGTATTCCAGCAAATCATTCAGTTCTGGTATCTTGGAAGCAATGCAAGAATAGCTGAAGGATCATTCAAAATGGAGCCAGTATATCCATATGCAAGAGATTCAGATGTATCACACTGGGAAGCCATCCTCATTGCCCTCAGAGCTCGCAGAACTTTATGGAACTAGCAGTGACATCTTGTGGTTCCCAACTGAATACTTAAACAACCTCTAGCGAGCTGGAATTTGCCAGCTACGAGGAGAACCTGGAATTCCTCATCCTATTTCCTTTTGCAAGGGACATGAGAGAAGTATTAACTCTGCTTCATGCAAGTGGAAGGGGAGTGGGCAGGGAAAACAAACATGACAAGAGAAGGGTCCCCTTGAAGCAAACAGAATTAGGAAGTTTTACAAGGCAGCCACTTCACCCAGTTAAAAGACAAAACCTTTCAAGCCAACAATATGGGCTCATATTTTTAGCCTCAAGTTCGGTTCCCATAGGGAAATAAAGACCATTACTGTAATGATAGTTTACATGTGCTGGAGCTCTGAAAGTAAGGGTGAGATTCCCTGGGCAACACATAATTTACTGACCACCTTCACCTCCTCTAGCGCTTGGCTATGAGCAGGAACGATCTCTTAAGTGCCTCCAAATCAAAGAGACTTTATTCCCTTCAGAACCACTGTAATTATAGATATGCTGACTTCATCAGCAGCCTTTAGGCTCAATTCATGCCCTTACAGTGCTGTTTCTGTTCGGGTCACTAAAGTGATTGGAGTGAAGAAGATGCATTTACCCTTACCAATAAACTCATGTAAGAAGACCAGTGAGGCTATGTAGCAGGAGAGACTAAGCAGCTCAGCCACTATCATGAGCCAGTGCCACGTCTGGATGGTCAGAGCCACCATCAGCAGCTCGGTGAGAATGAGGGACGTGAAGGAAATGGCGACGATGTGGACAAACTCCGACTCGAAGAGGAGCAGCGCTCCGTACATGATGATGCTACCTGCCAGAAAACAGAGAGTTTCCACATTTTACCAGTCTCAGCCCTAAAACCCACTGCTAGGCCCAGAAAGGCCGAAACACACTCATATCCCAAGCCTGTTTTTTTATGAAACCTGTTGGATTTAATTACAATGGATCAGTTAGGAGACAGAATTGATGAGAAGACAGGGGAAAAGTTACTGCAGAGGTGCTCAGACTTTTACAACATTATCATATTTATAGACACATGGAGCTAGGAAATTAATGCGTACAATTTTGGCAATTGGAGACTTCTAAGATCATGAAACTTTATCCTCCCAGCAAAGCGGTTGGTCACTATTTAAAGGCTAGAAGATATCAAATACTTCTAAAACACATCAAGCTGCCTCAGTGCCCAGATGGAAGTAAGGTGCTGAAAAGCTCAGTGAATACAAACTAACCTCTTTTTGCACTACTTTGGCCAAATTCTCTCCTCTTTACATTTTCCCCTACAAGAAGCACACATTAAAGCACTATTTATGATGCTCTGTTTCATGCTCCTATTCTGGCTAGCCAGAGAGGCTCACAAGGGCCCGGACAACCACCTGCACAAATAAGTCATGTTAGCAGCATGAGTAATCTGCACCAACAGCCATCACATGAGGCTAGTTTCGGAAGGGAAAACCTGCAAGTGACTGGAGCTGGAGCCACAAAGTTCAAATCCAGCTGTGAACTTTCCAAACTTCAGGGCTGCTCAAGTTTTCGGATAGGCTCTTTTCTGCTAGCAACTAGTCCAATTGTTTGGCCTGCTGTTTTCTAGTTATTTAGCCCATCAGCAGTGAAGTCACTTTAACCAAGTATTGTAACCAGATAGTGGTCTTAGCTCAAAAAGAAATCTTTCCCTCAATGCATCACCCTCTGGCTTTAGATTTCCACTGCTTGTGAATTTTCTATAAATGCCTTGGCTTTGCCATCATGTTTATATAGCAACAGAAGACCACTGTCTCTGCCATGGTGTTCTACCACACTAGATTTCAGGGGATAATCTAGAAGCTTTATATTCTTGGCTTTGCTCTCTTCTTAAGGATGGTAATATCGTTTAAATCAATAAGCATTAGCTGCTTATTCTGGCACATTTTTTCCAACTCTTGTTGATAAAGGAGTTTTGGAAAACAGCATAATTTGTCACAACATCATATTGCCATTTCAACTTTATAACTCCGCATCATGTGCCCATTTTCCATGATTCCTGATTATCAGTAGTAGAAAATATTTATGTCTGAGATTATTTAATTAAAAAAACAAACAAACCAACCGTAAAGAAAAGGCCTTCTTAGACATACACTTTAATTACTATCTCCACTTTTGCAAAATGAAAATTATAATTAAGGAATTTGGTTAACTGTTTCAACAGCTTGTGCGTAGGGATACGATCAAGATTTTGAGCTCTATTCCAGTACTTTGTTAGAGATGGCGATGAAGCAACCTCAATAATTGTACCAGCTAATAGACAGGTTTAGATAACACACACGGGAATGCAAATCCACAGATTCTGTATTTTGCAGCATTAGCAACCTGCATCATTCATGGATTTGAAAAGATTTTTCCAAAGAAAGGAAGAGTCACGAGCTCCACTTTACAGATGGAACAATGGAAGCACTGAAAGGAACTTGTCCAAAATTACCAAGGATGGTCCCAATACGAGGAGACACAGAGCTCTGAACTTCTACGTTGTTGCCTGTGACAGTGTTGGCTGCACAGCTAACTTAGCCGACTTATCTAACTTCCTACAGAAGCTAGAGAGTCCCTATCTGTTAATACTGATAACAAATATGGACAGGTATGCACAAACAGAAGTTAACTTCTTACCTTGATAGATGCTAATCAAGACCCATATCAAAAATGTTTTGTATGATAGTGGTCGCCCCTAGAGAAAGAAAAAAGAAAGTCGGTTAGAGTTTTCTTTTATGAACATTCACTTACAGACCAATCTAGCAATTAATAAAACAGAGTTTGGAGGTGACTCGGAAATAAAAACCACAAAAGCAGACAACCAGCCCCAAGGCATTATCTCTTTATTCTTATTTTTTGTGCTGCACGAAGGAGGCCTGGGATTTCGGATGCTTGCTGCTTGAGCAGTACAGTACAGCCTCTTCCTTATTGCACACGCAATTAATTCAATATAAAGATGTCTCATGAGCCTCATCATTGTGCTGTGAATTATGTGTGTGCATATTTGTAGGCACATATATATGTACACATTAATATTATATTTCTATACACATGCACACAAATCACATCATATTGGAGGCAGACAGGTTTTAAAAAAGAGCATCTCCAGCCAACAGAGCTATACCAACACACACAAAAAAAACAAACCCTGTGTTTCGACCAGGCCTAAGGATGGTTGGAGAATTAGTGGTTTATGACATCAGAGACAACATGCAAGTGAAACCAGATGGAGACTTATTCAGGCTGTTGGAAAAATAGGCTTTGCTTCTGAAAGTATCTGTTTAACAGAAATCCTTGAGGGAAGGATCTGTTGAAGACTCAGTCCACCCTTTCCTTCAATTAAGAGAGATGTTCCCAGTACGCATACCCCAGTTACTCACAAATGTTTCCAGGGGGAGTGGGGGTAGGGAGAAAGCAGCACTGAAACCAGAAAACCAAAATGCACCAAGGACAAAGTTTACCTTCTTGATCTTTCTATGGCAAATATTAAACACATTTTTCTTTGTTTAAAGAGGAAAAAAACCCCTCTCTCTTCCATGCTAATCCAACAAAAAGGGCACATAAAAAGGTCTTTAAATCCATTTAGAACATCTATGAATCAAATTTTCATTCTAGAATTCAGGTGACAACCTTTCTCCTCATTAAATGATGAGATACCTTCACAGAATCACAGAATGGTTGAGTTTGGAAGGGACCTCATCTAGTCCAACCCTCCTGCCGCAGCACCTAGAGTACGTGGCACAGGGTCATACTGAGGCAGGTTTTGAAGAGTTCCCCTGTGTTTCTTATCCGGCTTTAGGAAAGTGCCAAATGCCTGAATTTCTCCTCCCTCTTCATTTTGGAACAAACTGGTAATATTAAATCCTTAGAATAATCCACAGAACAAAAATTCTATTTCCCAGCCGTTTCTAATAAATTGTATTTCATGCATCATTCAGCAACAAACTGTAAGGAAATCAAGTTGTATCTGTTAGCTCATGCTTGCCTTTAAAAGAACTTTGTTTGGAAAATGTATGATAAAATTCTGCATCTACAGATAATATATTCAACTCTTCTAGAGAAAGTTCCAAATCAAGGCAAGTATTGTAAAGCAAAACACAAAAGCAAGGATCTTCCAAACCTTAAGAAGGTCTTTATAGAGCTCTGGGTACAACATTGCAACTTCAGACTTAACATCTTTGTCCAGGACTAAAGAAAACACTGGAAACATCGTGTAAATTGTAGAGTACCTGGGAAGGAGGTGAAAAAACACAAAATGATCTAAGGATTAGATGAACAAACAGAAACACTTACCTACAGAAACGAAACAGTACTCTCGAAATCTTAATGCACATTGTAAAAATCTGCACCACACCAGAGCTTTGGATGTAGGAAAAACCCAAAATGTTTGTTTTTTGAATAGCTTTTGATTAGAAACATCCAGAGCTGGATGATTCAGGTACTGCAACGTTTATTAAGGAGTCTGGAACAGACCTATCCCACCCCAAATACTGCTCCGCAGTTTGGGCGCAAGGAGCTGTTTGGGTCAGGAAGGAGCAGGGATGAATTTGCTGTGCTCTTTCTTTTTAAAATTAATTATGTGCTTGATAGTATACAAAACTGTGATTGCAAGGGAAATACCAGTGTACTTTACGCTGCAGTCGTTGGTCCTGTTGACAAGTCCAGGTGAGGGTGTCTGGGGTGAGCACACCTGGGAGCGAGAGGCTGCAGGATGCCCTCACCAGCCCCTCTTCCTGGAAGAGCAGCTTGCTGTTGCTTTCTGCTATTCCAAATCAGCCCCGTTCCCTTTGGGAAGGCTGCTAGAAGGGTTTGCACTGCCTCAGTGCCTTCATCCCACTCCTCTGTGCCACGCGGAGACCAAGATCACACCTGCCCCCCCAAAGCAGCATGCGAAACACTCAGAGCAGAGCCAGGGACATGCCCTGCGTGACAAGTGGCCAAGATCTATTCATTATGCATAGGTTTTCCACACTACTAATAAAAGAAGTGAGCTCTTACCCAATGATGAGAAAGCCCTGGTAGAGGGGAACTGAAGCAAAGTAAAATACTGATGAGAAAACAGCCTAGAAAAGAAAAATAAAAAGAAAGAAAAAAAAGCTTTTCAGGCATGAGGTACTGCAGTACAAGTTGCAGCTGAAAAATATATTCTGTTCGAACTGGAAAGTACTTGCAGTGGGATCTCCAAATCCCTGGAATGAAGACAGAAGAATGTAATATCATCTCTTTTAATTCCTACGCAAACCATGGATGAAAGCTATGTTTAATAGCAAACACTGGAGAAATGAACATGGAAAACTTTAATTCCATGAAAAAGAACTTAAAGAGTTTCCTCCAAAGCCCACTGGCTTGATCAAAGCCATGCAGATGTTGTGAAGGTCAGGTGCATATTTACTTGCACCTCACCCTCAGATAATGTTTTCAGAATGTAAAAGGAATGAGCACCCACTAACACAAACTCCAAAGCATTAAAGATTAAATTCTGGACAGATACAGAAATTAAATTAAAAAAATGTAAGTTTTAGATGTATCTCTCAGAGCAGCCTGGATTGTCCCCCGAGTTCGAACCTTTTGCCTTTACTCATCCTTCTCCAACATAGTTATACTAAAAAGTGGAGAGGGAATAACCAGACTTCTCAAACATATTTTACTGAAAAGTCTTAGTTTTGAAAGGATGTATTTATTAGTACACTATGGTGTAAAAACAACTCCCAAAGAACAACCTCTGTCCTTAACTGCATCTTTCACTGAAGTGAACACAGCTAAGAATGGAATTTGGCTCCAACCTCTTAAAATGTCCTTAAGCTCTCCCTGCCAACTGGCAATTGCATTTGTGTTTCGCTGGGGCTCTGCACACCAGCAGGGCTTGAAATTTGGTAAATACAACATCTGTTTCTCAGGTTCCCTTTGGAATGGAGAGGAGCAGACTGCTTCCACGTTGCTGCATGAGCACTTGGGAAAGGCAGTGTGTGCTTCAACCACCTTCCCGGACGGCTCCCGGGAACGCTCCTCCCCACCGGACCGAGGCTCCGGCAGCCTCAGCGGGGCCCGAGCCAGCTCCTCTGCAGAGGGTTGCTAAACTGGTCTCACTGTGCGAGGACCTAACTTAAAACGTACCTGTAAGTAAGAGCACTTGTTCTTTACAAACAATGCCCTACTACACAATTAGGTATTTCAGAACATCACTGAATGGCAGCAATAAATATGCTACTTCATAGCAGTGTTTTCTAAGGCAAAATTCTGTTTGCCCAGTTTTTAAAAAGTTGCTAATGTTGGTCCTGAACCAAGAACTTTCTCGCATGTTTTCAGTTCAAAGTAAGTCTCAAGTTCCAACCCATGAACATTTCAAGGAGAAGAAATAGTTGCATCTGATTTGAAATGCAGAACCTTTGCTTTTTAATGCTTTTTTTTCACCTCACCATTGGAAAAGCCCACATAAAACATCCCATTTACCTGCATTGTGCTGATGCACAAGCTCCTGTGGATTACAAACTGGCTGAGAGCTGCCGACCTTTTGTAACTGTTCCTTCCATGCACCATTAGTAAACGGCCCAGATGTTTGAACTGAGTAATAGAGAAATCTGCTGCAAGTGAAGCCTGTTTTCCTTCCTGTGTACAAGAGTAAGTAAAAGCGCAATGAGATCATTTCATTACTGAAAGCAAAGAAATACCATGCTATTATTTAGCTACCACAGACAGAATTTCAAAGAAAATTTACATTGCATTAGGTGGGGGACAGCATTACCTCAGTAATTCTGCCTGTCACCAAGCTCTTCAGCAAAGAGCAAAACTATGGAAAGAATTCGCATTTGACCCTTGGCCTCAGGCTCTGAACAACCAACCCTCTGCCTTATGATTCACAACACACATGTTAACATGATACGCATTTTACATCAAGTCCAATTTAAACACAATTTTTCAGGCTCGAAAGTTCACTCAGTCTGAATGTGTTGGCTCACTGCAAGCAGCATCCCTGCGCGGCCTCCAAACCCCGTCCCTGCGTTCCAAGGAGCTCCATGCACAAACCTGAGTTCTAACTTGGGGTTTGCTTCTACACTGATAAAACCGGTTCTTAAATTGTACCTGCAGTAAGTATGTTATTAGAGCAGTTACAGCTCCATTATTTGGCACATCAGGAAAAAAGAGTCCAAGATCAGGGCATCTTAAAAGACTAAATAATGAGCTTGAGTTCAACTAAACAGTAGCCTAGTTTACAGCCACATTATTTTTTATGTTAAGGCTCGTGGTCTGGTAATTTGTTCTTCTTGCATGAGTTTCTGAGGATTTGTTTAAGCGTAGCTAGCAAACTAACTTCTGAAGTGTCAAACGATGTGGGATAAACTGGGAGATGATCCCACCTTTCCTTCAACGCCAACACCACAGTCGGCCTCCTGGATCATGCTGACGTCGTTCCCTCCATCCCCTGCAGGGCAGAGCACAGGTAAAGGACATTGGCAATTAAACAACACGGGCAACTTGCAGTCCCACTGAAGGCCTCTGCGCCGGACCGTAATGCTAGAAGAAACATTCAACCCATTAACAAATGTGAGACTTTAAATAGAAACTAGGAAATTAAATTCTTTAAGCAGCTTCTTACAGAGCAGCGAGTACTCAAAGCTGCTGACCACCCAGTCTGGTTTGTAGGGTATAACGTTTTACCTGCGTGCTGAAATAAACATCCCATATTAGCAATGGCTTTGCAAAGACAGCACCCCAAATATGTGTCACCAAAGTTTCCATGAGCAAAGCTTCACCTTACCAACCCCCCCACAAAAAAAAGAAAAAACGAAACAAAACAAAACACTCTGTTCCCTAACTCAGCATTTCCAGGTGTTACAAATGACCCAGGACAAAAAAAAAAAAAAAAAACTCGAGGACAAAAAAAAAATTTGACACACAGAATCACTCAACCTTAACTAGTGAGGCCATTTCTTAGTTCAAAAATAAGCATAATAAATCTCTTATTGTGCAGTTGGACAGTAAAACAAACAAACAAAACAAAAACAAACTAAAAACCAAACACTTCTTTCCAGCTTCAAACTCTGATTGCTTGCAAGCTTAAGCTCACAGAATTCAGGCCTTAAAAGAAAAAGAAACACAAAAGAAAACAAAGAAACCAGTTTACATGCTTAAAACACTCTTTAGTCTTTCTGTATTAGGCATAGCTATAATGCCCACATACACATTAAATCAAAGATTCTTTGCCTGATACATAAACAGGAGCGAGCCTGAGGAGATGCTAGGGGAGGCCTTACCTGCTCAGGGAAGCTCTTACCTACGGCACAGGTGAGTTTGCCAGTTCTCTCCTGGAGCAAGCGCACGATCTGAGCCTTCTGCGTGGGGGCACATCTGCAGCACACCACGGCAGGGCACTGGCAAGCCAGCTCCATGAACTCATACTCGTAGTATTTCAGACACACCTATTTCACAGAGAACAGAAGCGTCACTGATTATTTGTGCTACAAATATGCCTGTAAAAAGCCAGATTTGGCTGTAGTGTGTGGAGACTGTGTTCACAAAGAGTCTGAAGGGGCTGGAGTTTACCTCGAGCGAGTCGCCAGAAATAACAAGCGCGCAGTCGTGTTTCCGGCGGAAGGCGTTCAGCTCCAGATGGGCTTCTCCACGGTTGGTCACCTGGAAAAAAACATGGCAACTGTGGAAGGACTGGGTTGAGGTGAAAAAAGGAAACAAAACAGTCCCAAAGGGAGCGAGAGTGGCGTGGGCAGGCAGCACATTTTGCTATTCAACTACAGCCAGATAAACAAAAGCTCAAATTTGGGTCAAAAGAACATACATATATATATATATATATATATATATATATGTATATATATGTGTATATATATATATAAACTCCCTCTACTTCTGGGCTACAGTTACAATCTCAACACCCCTCCTGTCCCCATATTCCGTGTTTGGGACAAGTCCTGAGAGAGGCTTGTGTGCTTTACTCACTAGTCGGAATATATGGATGTCCTGTGTTCTCGTCACCAAATGTGCATTCTTGGCTGTACACGTGGCTGTCTCCAACTTATCCCCTGTCAGCATCCACACCTGAAAACAAACGTTGAAAACATTAAATGCAAAACTTGTCAACTACATCTTCAGGACATCTGGAAGCATAACCTGCCAGTTCAGGCGCATAATAGGATTGTTTGAATATATGCACATTCTTAACTTTCAGAAACCCCTATTTTTAAAATGGGCAACAAACTCTCCTGTATGAAAGAAGGCAGAGCTTTTAAAGGCAAAGGAGATTACAAACTGAAAGGCAAAGGAGATCACCAACTACGTGCAACATTTTTCCACCTGCAACATTTCAAGATGCTGCTGATAAACCCCACAAAATGCAAGCTAAGGAATGCGTATGCGTGTGTTAATGTGTCCCATCCCAGCTATTTCTTGCAGGCTGAAATAAGCAGACTGTGCTGCAGAGATCCCTCATGGCCCTGCCTGAGATGTGGATGATGCAACTGGGTTAGCTCACTGCTGATGTGTGCGTCTGGAACAGACCTGGCTGTTTTCATATACACTGCTCCTTTTATTTTGTGCTTCGGGTGGGGGGCATTAGAGAGCCATGTCAGCAGCAACACTCCTCCAATCTGGCAGGGAATTCCCTCAGTAGTATAAATATATCAGAGCTGGGTTTGTTTTTCCACTGCCGTATTTATTCTTTGAAGACAACGCCCAACAATATTTAAGCAAACTTAAGAAAAAAAAAAAACCCAAAACCCAGACAAACAAACAAAAGACGACAGCTATTTGTTTAATGATCTGAGGTTGGAAGAAGATTTGATCTCAACAAGATGGTTCCTGTAACAAGGTATAAGGCTGCTTCCAGCCTGGTTTTCCCTCCTGCAGGCAATGCCCTGCTAGATGTGCAGTGATGGCTGGGGACGATAGGGAGACCCGCGCTCGGGTGACAAGGTGACAGGGAAAGCGAAACCGCTTTGAGCACGAGGTGGGGACGGTGCCGCCAAGGACCCGGCTGTTCCCCCCACTTCCTTGCTGAAGTCCCTGTTATCCATCGGGATGTCTCCAAACAGAAAGTGCTTCTGGAAGCCCATGCAAAGCTTTGGATTGTGCTTCCTATCCCAGACAAGAGCACTGCTTTTGCATCTGTAGTGCAGCCCAGATTCAAAACGGAGAATCCACAGCCTCCTGGCTTTTACCTCCTTTTTGCCCAACTCTGAGTATTTGGTGCCTTATTTTCCTTCTGCAAATCCGTGATCTGACTGGTAAATTTTTAGTGGGGAATATTAAGCAGGAAATATGCCTGGTTCTTCACCAGTACGTACAGCTCGGACTATTGGTGTTCGAGACTTGGAGGCAGAAGGCTGCAAAGCTGGACAAAAGCCTCCCTGCTCCTCATTCTTTCGCCTCAGGCCCCCTCTGGCGGCTACTCCAACACATTCACAGGCACAGCTGGTACTTCAGCCTCGGCATGAGAACTCGCATGCAGGGGACAGGACAGATCTAACCAGGTCTCATTTTATGCAACCACTTGAACGAAAAGCTTATGCAAAAGCAGACCTTAATGCCAGCGTTTCGTAGCGTCTCCAGGGTAGGTCGGACGTCCGCCTGCAGCTGATCCTCCACTCCAGTGAGGCACAGCAGCTCCATCTCCATCTCCAGGCTCTCGATCACCGTGGCCACCTTCAGCGAGCGATCGTGCACGCTCAGCTTCGCCTGCACGTAGCGAGCCTGAGGACAGGGCAGACACACACTTGCAGTCACGGCTGGTCAAGCAGCCCCTCTCTGCTGCTGTGGAGCACAGGGTTAACCATGAGCACCACCCACGTCTCCCCGTCTTCAAGGGTGGCACCTGCAACGCCTCAGGAACACTAGATGTGCCTTACAGAGCAAGGCTAAAATATCTGAGGAAGTTTGGGGTACTTTGTCCCTATCCTGAGCTAGCTGGACAGTCAATGCATGCTGTGTCCTTGGCACACAAGTGCACAACAGTTACTGAAGTGACACCTGCAGAAAGCCTGGAAATGACTCCCTCACACTACAGGTCTATCAGTGGCTTTCACGACTAGCACTTTTTCTACAAGCAAGGACAAGAAACATGTCGACCATCATATCTCTGCATTCAACCAAGCAATTCTCCTTTGAATTCTGCCTCTCTGGGGTAAATAAATTTATGCTGTGGTTGGGGTCTCACATAGCCAATCCCATGCACAGAGTCCCTATTTCCATGAAGCCTGGCTGGGTTATATTCAGGGGGACTGCCGTTTCCATAGATACAAACGTAAAATTAAAAGCCAATTAATCTCCCCCTCAAAACACAAATTGACTAACAAATGGTTAATTTATAATTCATATATTTATAACAACAAAAGACTATAAGGCAAGATTCCTGAACTGTTCTGGAGGGTCCTGGATAGGATCCAGTTTTTTACATATCACTCAAAACAGTGTTTTGATTAAATTAACGCAAGATGTCTAAGAACAACAGTTCTGTCATGAGGACAAGGAAGATGAGAGGCTGTATTATCATGAGAGGTCTGGGAGCATCACTTCAGTAATTACTTGTTTTAAAACAAAGGAGAAACAAAACAAACAAAAACTTACTTCAAAGTCTTGATACTGCTCCTCAGTCAGAGACTTCTTGGCTACAACAAGAACCCTCAGGCCTTCCCTCGCCATGTTACCACACTGCAAAGAAGAATCACGCTGGAGACCATAAACGGCTTTTCGAGGAAGAGGATTTATGCACAGCATTGCAGAGATTGCCATGTCAGATAGCAGGTTAAGAAAATAACCGTCCCATTTGAGCAACCCCATTGAGTCTATAACATTTGATAAAGTGCATGATAAACTCAAGGGTAAAAAAAGGAGGAGATCTGAAATGGTTAGTAATCTCCCCCAGTGATCAGAAACAAAAATGTCCATATCAGTATGGCAAAACCACTCCATTAATTTCATTTTCTCTGGCTGTAAGTGATAGGACACAAGCCTTTGACTTGAAGACCTACAATCTCTGGCCATAAAAATCTTTGAAACAAGACTAACATATTATCTCTATGATCACAGGGAAGAAAAATCAGTAACTGAAGTTCCTGCTATGAAGTCTGCATCCACATTACTGCTTAAGTGGCAGACACATGATCCCAGCAGAAAGCTACCAAATGTACTTTTGAAATTAAACAAACCCTTCAATTTAAAATAAGTCCAAATGCAGTATCAAGTACATGATAAATCTGGTGATTTTGAAAGTCAGTCAATTTTGAGTAAAATCTATTTCACCTACAGGAATTATCTTGCATTAACTGTATTGAAATTGCCACCTGCCCTGTTTTAAAAGGCAGTATTATTGCATGTATATTTGTCCAACTGCTAATCCAATGAATTGTTGTATCAATGATCTTTCAGCTTGCAGATGTTATAACAGGTACACCCATCCTAGTACATTAACATCAGCAGCTTTGCCCGTGTCACCCCGGCACAGGAAAAGCTCTTGCCCAAGAAATCCTCCTGATATCTGAGGATGTGTGTACCTCTTCTTCCAGCCAGTCGTTGTACTGCACGATGCCAGCCATGACCACATCGGCCCCCTTCATGTAGAAAGTGATCTCGCCTGTTGATTCATCCTGAAGAAGACAAGCAAAAGCATCTCAGCTGGGCACCCCATTAGCATGTTTTGAGTGGGTTTGGCAAGCTGGGACGAGATTTTTCTGCACAATTCATAAAAATGCAGTGCTGTTAGGTCAGGCTGAAGGTCCACCTAGCTCATGGCCACAAGGAGATGCCTATTCGATTGCAGTTTGGTTACTCACAGCAGGGATTAATGCTTTAGACAACGATGATCAGCTCTGAGTCAGCAACGCATGATCCCCAGATACCTCTTGCTTCTCACAGCATGTGCCTTTGGAAGAACCACTGTGCACCCCAAAAACCTGACTTCAAACCTTATAACTTCCTGAAACAATAAAACAGGCATGCAAAGCTTGCAGAAATCACTAATTTACCCTTCTGTTAGGAGCACAATAAGCGTTTAAACTTGTCACAGAAAGGTTAGGTTGCTGTCTGCCTTATCTGATGCAAGTAATTTGCAGGCTGCGAGCAAGGCATATTTACATTACTGCAAATTAAAAAATCCCTTCTAACCAGACAGATACCTAAGGAGGTCACTGCTATTAGGATTACAAGCTAATGGAAACCCTGGCAATTTCCTCAAAGGAGACAAAACAATGAGTAAGGAACAAACTGCTCTGTAAACGGAGACAGCCACCAGGGATAGGAAGAAAATAAACTTAACACGCAAAACCAAAAGGCCCAGGAAGGTCTGCAAATAGACATCTGTGAACGAAGAGGGGGAAAAAATACCTTAAAAGTCCTACGAACACTTTTATTTTTAAACTATTTAATATACTTGTCAACTTGTCATTGCAAAAACCACCAGTGAAAATTCTCAACCATCTGAGTAGAGGTAAAAGCCCAAGAGCCTCTGATGCAAGGAAAAGAGAGCTTCCATAGATAGCTAGGAGAGGCAGGTACTAAACATGCAAAAAATGTCTTCGATAATGAAATTTAGAAGGAGACAAGGATAGCCAAGGTCCTTTGATGAGCATTCTTGCCAAAGTCATAAAGATCTTTACAAGAGAAAATCTTACAACTGAACTTCAGGATGTTTTTCAGTGTCTTCTGGCATGCTCAGTGTTCATATACTGATAGACACACACCCCACATCCCCCAGCTAAAATACATGTAACTACCAAAACAACTAGAATCTGCTTAAATAAAACATAACACTTCTGGCAGCAGCAAAAGGTAAAGGTTTATCTATTAAATTATTTGATTAAAAAGTGTCTAACAACATCTCTGTAGGAAACTGAATAAAGACTCCACTTCCCGTGCTGCAGAGCTGGCTTAAGATAGTTTAGATTTTTTGTCCAATATAAATACTGTATCAGCTATCTCCTTGCATTAGTCATTTCCTCTCACCAAGTTCAATAGGAGGTTAGTGCGTTCTCATATTATGGTAAGATCACACTATAAATCTGCCCAGAGATTTGCCAGTTACATTGTTTTGAAGAGGCATCTTTTTCCACCGTGGTCTGATTCTGGCCATAGTTCAAAGGCATCTTTCAATTTCAGATATGACAATAGCACTATCTGTGTGTTACAACAAAGACCATTCCACACGGGTAAGGGGAAAAAGAGCAGAGAAAGAAGAATGGAAAATGTGGTCAAACAAACAGGCCTCCTTTCAAGAGGGAGATAAGTAAACAGGACTGTAAAGAGTGGCTGCCACACTCGAACAACACTTCTGAGAACTGGATAAGAAGCTACCAAGAAGCTGATCACCTGCAACAAGCAGATATCGCAAAAACATCTCAGGGCCCGGGGGGAAGATGGACACCTCCACCAAGGACTTCAGCAACATTATCACTGAGCTCGCTGCACACATCATTCAGTGAGCTTCTCCACCCAGAACATGCAGGAAGCCTGACGAGACGGGGTAACCACCTCCTGCCAGCCTCAGAAATAGCAGGTTAGAAGAACGGGTGATATCTGAGCAGGAAGTGTTACCATTTTAATTCTACTTACTGCACCTCAGAGCGCGGACTGTGGTTTCGCTCTGCAGTTCCTCCCTGCCCCGGCTGCTCACTGCTCCTGCTGCCCTCTGGTTGCTTTATGCTGCTTTCCCTTCCATTATTTCTGCTTTTTACAAATAGGCTACACAGTTTTATAAAATATGCTAAAGAGGTAAGAATCAAAATCTGATAAAAATCTGAGAGAAAATCTCAAAATCTGAGAAAGCAAGCCAAGAATCAAAACCAACGTGAGTGCCTACACATGCATATGTGTATACTTAATGAAAGAAAATTTTACTTGTCAGTTACTGATTTTAAAAGCATTTTCTTTTTAAATAAAAATCTGCTCGAGGATAGTATTTCAGAGCAAACAGGAACATGACAAGGTAATAGCCAGGCACACAGCCAGGGTCTGGGACAGCCAGTTCCTGTGTTTTGCTGCAGCTCACTGGGGGCAAAATAAAGATGCTCAGGTAACAAGTGCAACAGAGAGGGGCTGACGTCCTATTAGCAAGAAAGATCTTGTCAATAACAAGAAAAAAGAGCGTCTTAGACACTCACCGTCTGGGGCCTGATGTTGCTCCCCGTGACCACCAGTGGGAGTTTGGCCATTCCCATCAGTAGCACTAGGCCAAATACAGAATGTACAGCAGAAACCTTTTCCTTCTGAAAGGGGAGGAATACAGCTAACTGCTTTTTAAAAATACTGCACATTCAAATCACTGGTTTGTCATGCTGTTGTATGAAGAAGGGGAAAAAAATGCCCAGAGACAGCTCCTCTCCAGTTTTCCAGTTGGATTAAAATGAAGTTCAGGGCATTTGCTTCTCTGCTGAGCATATGAACACAGTTTAATGAAATGTGCAGCAGTTGGGATTGTTATTCCCCTCTTTTTTTTTTCTTTTTTAAAACAGCTTTGAGAAAACATTATCTCTTCAAAAGCTACACGCATACAGCTACAAGCTTATGCTAAGCAATGGGATGGAGGTTGTTTAATCCTCCCTTTTCTATTGCTAATAGCCTTTAAAAGTCTAAAGTTGTTTTCACTATAAAAATAATCTATCTGAAGAAGTTACACCTGTTGTACTTGAACAGTGAGCCCAATATTCCTCTCAGCCCTCCAGTGCGGTACCAGACACTGGTCACAGCTCCAGCAGCAGCTCCCTCTGTTCACGCGCGCTCGGTCCCTTCTCCAGACTCAGATTTGACACGCTGGTTACTTTGCACAAGCTCATCCTGCCAGCTCCCTTCATCTAACACTCCTGCCCTCGGGCACAACTCAGTGTTTCAAAGCCTGGAACAACTTCAGATGGAGATTTGTATTCCTGTACCATCCTGTGGCCTCTGCTCCAAAATGTAAAATCCTGAGCAACAGGAGATGGAGGCTGGAAATGCACAAGTGCATGAGCTTTAGCAATTTCAGTTTGTGCTGAACACAGACTGCCATGAAGAGTGGTAAAAAGTTATATTACGGGCACACATTACAGTTCCACCTTTATCACCTTTGTTTTTTTAGTAATAAGAAGACTGAAGTTCTCCTTAATT